ACTCGTATTTTTTTTTTAGATAAACACATCTGTGCGATTTTTTGTCTCAAGAACTCGATTCGATTTTTAAATTTTATATATATATGAATCGAAAATTATAGGTTTATAGTCTAGTTCGGATATTTCATATATATATATATATATGACGATCCGCGTAGTTGAAACCTAGGTAGGTTTGTCTGGCTCTTTAGGTTTACTTTGCTTGCTCTACTTAGCGTATTGAGCACTTTACTTAGTTATTTTTACTTTCTTTGAACTCTGAACTTTCATTATTTTCGCCGGAAGTACTTTTTTCCCTTGGGTATTGGTTCTTCATTTACAAGATAAAACACCTAAGGTTTTGCCGGACGACTATAGCTGCTTATATTTATAAGATTACTAGTATTATATATATATATACATTTTTTTTTTTTCGAATCTAATGCCATCAGATGATTTTTTCGAATCTAATTTTTTTTTTTTTTATAGGTTAATAAGCACAAAAAAGGAATATAAAACTCAATTTTCAGAACAATAGACTAAATACAGCCAATTACGCAAAATAGGTAAAGACAAAATTATAAATTATAAATAATTTATATAATTATTTTATGAAGCCTTCTAGACTATTTAATCAGTAGAGTATTTGCTATAATTCCAGCAAAGAACATCACGTGGTGCATAGTGTGTCACCATTGTTATTCTTACGTTAACAACACAATGGTGAAGACAAAGGAGTTTAGCTTCTTGACCGTATATATAGAAAGTGCTTTGATCGCTAGAACATTCACAGGATATTCACGTTTAGGGTTAATATGGACAACTGTTCGTAGTTCTCACCTTGGGATTTTTCTCTTGCTGATGACCATATTTTCTGTTTTCTAGTTATTGATGGTTAGTCCTGTCTTCATGCTTTCCTTTACAATCTTGTTTTGTTTGTTTTGTTCTGTTATGTTTTACGGTATATCAACCTCAATGGGTTATTTAATACCGACAACTTTTTTTTTTCCTGGTAATATTTTGTTTTGTCTAAAATTTATTTCTGGTAATATTTTTTTCCTCAAAAATGTATAGCTGGTGATGTTTTTTTTTTTTGTTTTTTTTGTTTTTTTAAACTATATTGCTGATAATATATATATATATATATTTTTAAATATATTGCTGGTAATAGTTTTTTTTCAAAAATATATTATTGGTTGTATTTTTTTTTCAAAAATATATTGATAATAATTTTTTTTTTTTTTTTTTAAAAAAACTATATTTCTGATAATAGATTTTTTTTCAAAAATATATTGCTGGTCCCCAAAAAAAAAAAAATATATTGCTGGTAATAGTTTTTTTTTTCAAAAATATATTACTGGTAATAAGTTTTTGTAAAGTATTTCTGGTATTAAAACCTATTTATACATTTTTATAATGCTTCAGTTTCGGGGTTAAATATTTGCCCATAGCTGGGACCCTAACAGGTGCTACCACTCCGGGTCAGAATGGACCTGGGAACACCAGCAATTAAAAGGTATTTACAATCTTGTTTTAGAGATCCCGGAGTTTTCTTACTGTGTCTGCCTATTTTATATTGTTAAGATTACGTTAACCGATAGTAAATGTTAATAAGGGTCTCCAATTCTTTTGTTGATATCTTTTCGTAACGGGTTGCCCGTATGTTTCAGCTTTACCGGACAGTGTCGTTTTAAATAAGTGATTTTTTTTTTTTCGGTAGCCACTTACCTACTTTTTT